TGGTTCTATGTTGGCAAGATTGGGTGATTTTTTTTTCTTCTTGATCCATTTTTTTTTTGAGAGTGGAGGTCGCTTCTATGTCTTGTTTGTTTGTTTGTTTCTTTAAATGATGTGTTTAAAAAAAAAGAATGAAAAACTTAAATAAAGTTTGGAAAAGAAAAAAAAGAAAAGAAATCAGAGTGAGTCGCACCAAAGAATATTCAGCTTCCACAATGCACTAGTGGTGAAATCCTGATGCATGCTCAATAATCCAGGTAGGAAAATCTAAAAAAGTGAAGTCTGGTCCTCTGGACATTCACAAAACAAAAAAATGTAGAAATGTTTCGTCTTTCATCTGAAAGACTTCCTCAGTCTGAGGAGCTGTTTTCAGCTCAGTCTCTTAAATAGCACCTTCTCAGAGTGGATCAACCAGTTTGCTGCTGACAACCAAAACCAGCTGATCACATGGTCAAGAAGGACCATCAGCCTAACAATGGATCATTAGCACACTGATGGCTGTTTACTATTCACAGAGGGCTGAGTGATACTAGCAATCACAGCAGTAGTGGAGATCTTTTTAACTCTTGCCAATCAGCTCCCATATTTCTATGTCGTTCAAGTTATTTTCTTTAGTATGTTAGCGTTATCAATAATGTTTGTAGTTGTTTTACAAAAGCTTTAAGATAATTGTTTAATACTACACCATATTTTATAATTTTTTTTAACTGGCTGTGACTGTTTTAACAATAATGTACCTTGTAAAACTGAGGATGCTGTATTTTACCATCGTTCCTACTGTTAAGATATTTTTAGACTGGTCCTGGGGTTTTGATCTGCTCAGAGACGGGATTATAATGAAATTAAGACTGACTGGGTTAAACTGAGCCAACAACTCTAAAAAGAGCCTCCCTGGGGTTCAATATCTGTCAAGGAACAGAGTTTAATCTGCTTGCCACATCACGTAGAAAGGCCTTTTGAAGCACCATCTCATATTTTTTAACACATCAGAACCACATAAGATCCATTGAGATCATACTTAGTCACGCCCCCTCATACACTGACAGGTTGTGCTCCCCTTCTGCGAAGGAGGAGTCCAGGAACCTATAAATGATTAATGACACGGGACATAGGGGCTCTTCCAGTGTTATGATTACGTCATAGAACGGAGAGGCCAGTGCTGTAAACTGTAACCTTTTCCTGCCTTGATTTTAATACAACTGGTAAAACTTAATTGACGTTTCCTTGATTTATTGAAATTGTGAGTTGCCACTTCTGAGGGAGGTTCGAGCCGGGGGAGAGACGTGGGCTGGAGGGGGTTTCCGGGTCCGGTGGCCCGCAGCCAGCTCCCGTCTTTAACACTACTTAAAAAATATTAACCATTAGTTCATCTGTTGCTAAAAATCTCAGTTTGGTCCATATATAAAAATCCATCAATCTGCATTTCTCTAAACACTTTTGTTTGTTTAAAACAGCGTTTTCTCAACTTTAAAATAAATGTGACTCAAGACAAAAACACTGTTTCAAAAGTTAAAAGCTGGTTTGTGCAGGTGTGTTGTGAGCTGCACCTGTGGATGGTCAGGTAGAGTCTCATCAGCTCCGTGAACTGGGGCTCGCTGTAGCCCAGCATGTTGGTGAAGTTGTGAGACCAGTCCAGGCTGGAGTCGATGGCTCCAATGCTGCTGCCCTCACGGTTAAGGTTGCGGTATATCTTAGCAGCAATGCACGGCAACTTGGCAATCAAGTCCATGGAGTCTTCATAGATGAACTAAAACAAACAGTGTAAAACGATGATAACCCGACCAAGTCTAAAGCTACACCAGCAGCTCTGCTCTCCACACAGCACTCAAACAGAAAACATTATTCGTTTCAGAATTAGGGATGGGCGATATTGCTCAAATACAATATCGTGATATTTCAGTGCATTCTGACGATAACGATTAATTTTGTGATAAACAAACAAAAAAAAAGAATTAATAGTTATTCATTTGACAAAATTAACTTAGCATGTTGCTTTGCAGTATTACATAAAAACTAAAAAAACCAAGGGGTAATTTTACTGAAATGACTTTATTTAGTAAAGTATTAAGTCACCAAGTATAAAATTAAAAAAGATCCTTCTGTTATTTGGATTGAAAAAGTCTGCACAAAATATAGATCAATAAATCCACCACAAAAACTAAAATGCAGGTGGTTTCCCAAAATAACTGAATAAAATGAAGCTTAAGATCTGTTAAGCGTAAATGTAACATACAAAAAAATACATGTTGTCTTTAAATGAGCTATAACTTCCAAAACTTGACAAGGTGATCATCTGACCCTGAAGCTCGTGGTGTTTCAGCTTCCTCTGTTCCTGCAGGAATGATTCATTTCTCTGATGCTCTGTCTCTGATCACCTGACTCTGTTCTTGGTCCTTGGACTGTGGAACTAAGAGACAGACCTGCACGTGACTGTACCTGCAGTTTAGAGCTGGATGGAGAGACAGCTGAGCCGCACGTTGTTTGCTTTTAGCTTTTTAGCTAGCTAGTACTGCGCACAACTAAACTTTACGCCAGTACAGACATGTGGTGGTGTGTGTGTGTGTGTGTGTGGGGGGGGGGGGGTTGTGCAGTTCGGTTTGGTCATTCGGCGCGCTCTGTTTCGTTAACGGGGCGGGGCGCTTGACATACTACGCCATGAAATTAGCATATGATATCTTTTTTTTTGCCTGGGCAAGCTTTTTTTTTTTTTTTTTTACCGGTATCGTGAACGATATGATACGGCCCAGTCCTATTCAGAACTACTACTTTAAGTATCAAACTGAACACCATTTCATCCATTTGTTTAGTTCTACCCAACAAGAAGCTATCATTTAATAGAACATGACAGTAATCTCACCTCCCAGTACTTGGACTTGTGGACTCCCTCGGAGTAGGCCCGGGCAAAGCTGCTCTCGCTGTTCAGAGCTGTGATGGCAGCGCTGAACTGAGACATGGGGTGCAGGTTGGTGGGGAAATTATCCAACATGGTGACAACGTGAGAGGGGAGTGCTGCTCTCTTCGCCCACTCTTTGGACACCCAGTTTACCTGGGGGAGAGGAAAAGTGTATACAGTGTATCAAAGTTCATGCTCAATAACCCAGGTAGAAAAATCCAACTGGACGGTTCGTTTTTGTTGAAACGTTTCGTCTTTATCCAAAAAACTTCATCAGTCCGAGGAGCTGCAACAACCTCAGTCTTAAAAGCACATTCCCATGGTGGGTCAACCAGTTTGATGGTGCTCATATGGTTTCTGTAGTCCGCCCTCTTCCCCGCCCACTCGTCTGAGGCAGCCATGCCAAAGTGGTTCAAATCATCAAAGTTCATGTCAATAATCCGTATACACAAGTGTTTAATTATGTATACAATGTAAGGGAGGGACAAAGTTCTTGGTTTGCAGCTTTTTTCCAAGTCAAGTATTGAGCTGCTGACTCGACAATGTCTGTCTAAAAAGAAAAAAGGATGCAAATTTTCACCTTTGAGTTGACGTAGATGTGTTAAAGAGCAAAGGGTAAAAAAGGTAAAGGGTTTTCTTTTGTCAGCGAAATGCCACAATCAGCTAAAAGGAGGAAGTTACCTTTATAACACTTTGAGCAGACGGCAACAAAATCTCTGTAGACTGCACCGTGTGTTCCAGTGTTTGGATCACGGTCTAACGACAGCATTTCACTAGACTGAGACCATTGTTGACTAGACGGAGACACAAAATGCAGAAAAACTGCAAGAAAAAAAGGCAATTTTTTCTTTACACTCTTACTAAACTCAACATTTGTGACTGACAATCGAGCTGCGTGGCTGCATTTTGAGCAATTTCTGAAAATCATAACTTATTTTTGTGAGGACAACTGCAACAGTTGTGTAAATTATTCTGCCGCCCACACTAGCTCATTTTGTGCACACCTTGGCAGTTGCCCCATTTATAATTTAATCCTTCTTGACAACTTTTCAAATAGAAAAAGGCAGATGTAGATCAGTTTTCCAAGATTTATTACTTATTATTAGCGTATTATTACACCTCAGATGTTTTGTGTCAGAGGGCACCTGTCCTGTTGTCCCATGACAACTGACTACTTGAAGAGAAAAGGTGCTGCACAAATTTTCGGAACATGTTCAAAACTCAAGCGGCAGGACTGTGTGCCTCCGCGACTCACGCCAGGAAGTTAAGAACCCGGCAAAAGTTGCAAGAGTTTCAGTAGACTGCTGTTGACCAACTAGCTGCAGCCGAGTGAGACTCCAGCTTGAGAGAGAGGGTTAGGCTGTGGGAGGATACCATCATCTTTTAAAGATCAAGTTCTTCTATTGTACTTTTACAAATCACGTCAACTAAAACATTGTGTTATGGTGCTCACTGAATGTGCACTGTCACTGGGCTGCAACTGTTGGAGAGACAGTGTCAGAAATATAGCAAATTTTCACACACACAAAAAAAACAAACAAACAAAAACCAGAATAACACGTTTGCACAATTTGAGCCATGTTTTGCTGGAAGTTTGCATACAAACTGATAAAAACTACAGATCAGGGATTGCAGAAAGCAAGCTGAGGAGTTCCAGATGCTCTCAATGACTAATTTGAATTTTATTGATTCATAATTAATTAATAATTATTAATTAATTTTAGTGAGTTTGACACCCCTGCTTTAAGGCATGTAAGTGGTAATGTGATTCTACAGGCATCAGAAACACTGAGCAAACGATAACTGTACAATTCCTCTGAATCCAAAACTGTTTTTTAAACCGCTTGTTTAAAGTCTTGTATGGCCAGGCGGCGATTTGTTTTAAACAGTCTTGTATTCAGGCTTCAGGTGAAGAGCATTTTGGTTTTGAGTTTGTTACATCAAAATACTGGAAGTCAATCTTTAAAACTTAACATTTCTGTTAGAAATGCGCTTAAACCAGTTTTACTAGAATTGCTCCTCAAGTTTTTTTCTGGTTGTCTAATTACCACAGTTATGAAGCAGCTTAAAGCCTGTGCAACAGGAAAGTGTAAATCTATATCATAAAACAAAGCTGAGCATATATAAAGGTCAGTACGTGGTTACGGCAACCAACACGTTACAATTTTATAACACCAGCCTTCACAGACCGTGACAAAACGCACCTTCACATTTTTGTTCAGCAAAATGTGAATTCCTTAAATGTGTGAAAAAGTAGCGGCGTGTTAAGAGCTACCAGGTCTAACAATAAATAAATAAAACTTTTGCCTACCGACACTCGTGTAAATTAATAATTTCCTGTGAAGTGTCTCCTCTGCCACCCACCTGCTCCTCAGTTGGGATTTGTCCTGTGATCAGAAGCCAGAAGAGACCCTCAGGCAGCGGCTCCTCACCTCCAGGAGCTTTAGGAAGCAACTTCTGACACTCTGGAATGCTGTAGCCCCTGAAGCGGATGCCCTGTGCATCAACGGAAAGAGGTGTGATATGATTTACTTTGAAAATGCAGAGTAAAAACAATGCAAATTAACAAGCTCGAAGCCTCATGTGTCAGAAATGAGACGACATCAACACTTTCCCACTGACAACTTTTATTACTGGGTAAAAAACATAACAAGAGCCAAAGAGGAAGCTGCCAGAAGTATTTAAATGATAAAAGTACTGTACTGACAAGCAGACACTAAAGCAATATTTGTTTATTAAAAGTATCTACGAGCCCTGACGGATGACACTCTTAAACTGAATGAAACTACTAATGTCATTTATAGTGATCCAAACTGTGATGAAACTCCACGTTGTGCTCCTTTGTTTTTGTCACATTAACCAAGACGACGCCAGCAGAGTGTCACATGTCGTTATGAACATAGCTTTAATACTCACCTCCTCAGGATCCAACACTGAGGTTTCATACACCAGACCCTTCATCCCTCTCATACCACCATACACCTATTAGACAAAAACAAAAATGACAACCATTAGCATTTTAGCAACATTCGCATTAAAAAGTTGGGGTTTTCGTAGTCAGCTGTGTTACACTTGAATTTGTTCAAATGCAAATATCAAGACATGGCAAGAATTAAATATCCAACAATAGTCTGGATAAACAGGTCTGAGTTCGGCCTGACAACAGAAATGACCATTTCCTTTCCGACCACATGAGAATTAGTCATAAAGTATCACTGCAGTTGTGTAAATGTGTGCGAGCCCATTTGAGATCAAAGATCAGAGTTTTGAGTGACTCAGCTAAAACTGTTGTGTTGGCAGGAATCATTTATACTGCCAGAGACGACCACACAGAGAAACCTGCCACAGTAAACCAGTCTGGGCAGGCCTAAATGGATTATGTGTAGCTACCACGCCACGATTAATCTTGATCATGGCCCATGGCCTAAATGTCCCTCCGTAGAATAAAACAGATTCAGGAATTCACTTCCCTTTTCAAATGACACTTCTTCCTCACTGTTTTCTACCAGCTGCACAAACGTACTAAACATCTAGAGTTACTCACCATATCAACAGAAATCTGACCTATGTTGGTTTTGCCATACTGTTGTTTAAAGTTTTTGATCCTGGTCTGTTCTTTTGGAATAAGATCTGCCAGAACATCCTTCAAATTCTGAAAGAAAAATACAAAAAGCGATTAGCCATGCCCTTAAATAAACACCGTTACTAAAATAAGCATTCTTTTGAAGTGGCCTGCAGTCAGACTATATTTAACCATTTCTAAGAAACAAATTGATCTGTACATGTATCACAATGACAAAGGTCAGGTTGTTCTGCTAAATCCTGAAAGATTACAGTGAATTAAGGCTCTTAAAGGAGTACACATCGATTTGATTAATTGTAAAATAAACAATGTGCTCCAATCTTTGGCAAGTAAAAAATGTAAACTAAATTAATTTACTTACTGTTGTTGCCGCGCTGGCATTTCTTGCAGCCACAAATAAGAAAGTGGCATTCTGTGAATTAGACAAAGAAAACAGGAAGTTGACTATAACACAACTTAAATAAAACAACTTATACATGAACTGAAACATCTTTAAAAAAAATTAAAAGTCACAAATATTATTGTAAAATATTACTATGACTGTCCTGATGCATCCTCAATATTCCAGGTAGATAAATCTAACAAGGTTGTGTCAGGTCCTCTGGGGGGGGGGGGGGGGGGGGGGTTTCTTCTTTGTTGAAACGTTTCGTCTTTTATCCAAAAGCAGAGAAACAAAGCAGCCGCTGGCCACAAGGATCACCCAGCACAGAAGAGCAACATCATCAGGCCAGGACTCTGTGGTCTACACTCATCTCCATGAAGATGTTCACATCCTTGATAGAGAGGAACGATGGTTTGAGAGGAATAAAGGAGGCCATCTTTGTGAAGAAAACCTGTCCATCATTAAACAGGGCGGAGGCCTCCAAGTTCGTTACCCTCTTACATTGCTGTTATTGCTAGTATCACTCAGCCCTCTGTGAATAGCAAGTGGCCAACAGGGCACTAACAATCGTTAGGCTGATGCTGCTCCTTTTACATGTGAACAAATAGTTCTGACTGTCAACAACAAACTGATTGACTAATTTTCGTATTTCGTAACGTCTGAGCTCATTTTCACATTGACAAACACGCCCACAAACTTCTGACCAACCACACAATACTTGGCGCAGACGCCTGCGAGAAACAGTGTGACCTAGGCCTTGTGTGAAAAGGGCAGGCGAAGCTACTCTGACAACAAAATGATGCAATTTTTGTCACACAACTTCATCAATGAGAGACGATTCCACCTCTTAGGATGGAGAATGCAGGGCCCTTTAGACTGAAGAAGTATTTTGGATAAAAGATGAAACGTTTCAACAAAGAAAACCCCGTCCAGAGGACCTGACTCAAGTTAGATTACTATGACTGAGTATTACGTTGCTTTGCCACTGTCTCTCGGTTCTGCACCAGCTAAGGGCTTGTAAACTGTTGGTGCCCATCCCGCCTCAGCCCGGTTTATGGGACCACCTTGTTTGAGGTTCCACACGGGCTGCTCCAAGGGGCCCATTTTGACATAAGCAGACAGCAGCCGTTGATTGGACAGTGAAGCTACGTCACTGGATGACCCGCCCAGTTAAACTGCAAACTACATCTGAACCTCCACTTCCTCATTGTGTTGACGAACGGCGCCACAAGAAATAAGAGCATTTACAGAGAGATATCGGAGATGATGGAGCAGCATGGCTACATCTGAATTTATAAACAATGCCAGGATAAGCTAAAGAAATTGAAGTCCAATTACAGGGCAATTAAGGACCACAACGAGCCGAGTGGCTCGAACTCGGTGACCTGATACGATACCGCCCACAGACTGGGGAAACAAGTCACAGGTAAATCTCCTACATCTGAGCATAAAACGATAAAATGAGAGCCGAGCGGAGTCACACTTACAAACGACAAAGTGGCTTTAGTTTATAGGTGAAACTGATACGAACTTGTAGCATAAATAAAAATAAAAACAAGAGACCAAAATGTAGATCATTTTAATTTTAGAATTTAACATTTTCCATTGAAGGTTGACTTTAAAATACCCTGTAATGTAAAGTGTTAATAAACCAAGTAACCAATTTAAATGGTAAATTTGCACAATGTTGAAAATGTAACCTTTGTTAGCAGACAAGCGGACAATTTCTAAATACCAAAAAAATACTTAGTTTGGTTATACCACCACTACAAGCAGCTGCTGCAGCAAGCAACTACTGGTAACAATTAATCCTATCTTGATCTATTGTTAATACAAAGACAAATCCATATCTATACAAACTAACAATTTGTACTTTTTTCAGCAACGAGATTTTCAGACAAAACTGTCTCCACTTCTATCAGCTAACAGTGAGTGGTATGCTGAAAATAAATAAACTCATGCCACACAGCAAAGTGTTGTTACATAAAACTGATTTATGTGCTCAGTTTTAATATTCATTTTTTCAGGAATGTTGTTGGGAACCCACAGTGCAGTCCCAACCTTAACTTTAAGAACCATTAATCCAATAAATATATCTGATACAGTTGGGCTTTACTATACGTTTTAAATACCTGCAAAAGATTTTTAGTTTGTAACCTGTACAGTTGAGTTGCCCATTGACGAGCAACAACTGAATTATAATTACCTGAATGATGATTAAAAAGGACTATTATTACTTAACTATTAAATCAAAACGGCTAAAATATATTTTGCATTATTTCTCCAAACATTCTCTTTAGTGCTCATAATCTAAGTGGGCATTTCTGATACTTGATGTTTAATATTAACATCAAGAATTATGGTGAAAATTGGACAAATTTCCTAAAAAGATTTATAAGATTTTTTTTTTTTTAATACAGAAAATACAATCCTTCCCTCAGAGTAACATTGCTTATAATTACCGATAATAATCCCCAGGCTATGTCTTGTTGGAGACAAAAAAAAAAAACAACCTACTAGCACAAGTTATGCAAGTACTTGTATGACACCATTCTTGCAATATTAAAGAAGCTAAGCCATTTCTTATTGAACACTTAAACAGGATTTTTTTTAAATATTTTTTTTTATATATGAGGTTAGAGTATTTTGGGGGAAGTGAACGCTCTCTGTGCGATCACTGTCATTAGGACATTTTTGTGTTTCTAATTTCTTACAGTAATGTTTCCCCCACAAACAAGGTTGTGTGTTTTGCTTGTAAACTATAGACAGTGTTAATGTCTGTAGTGTTAACGGACGTGTTTTTGAGATGACTCATTACTTGCTGATGTGGTCTGTAAACGCATTTGATAAAATTTATGTCTTTCTTTTTAGCCATAATTCAGGATGTTAAGAATTAAAACACAATCCTTCATCTCAGGCTGGTGAGAGTCGGAAACATCTGAATCAAATGAGTGCTTTATATACAAGACCATAAGCTGTTGCATAATGCCTTTCAGCTGTGCAAAACCCCACCTTTTGTATGGGGACCCCTAGTTTGACCCTATTCAGTTGTCAGAGGTGAACAAATTACAAAAGACAAGTTCTTATGTTTTTATTCTTAAAAAAAAAAGTTATTGTCATTTTGACATTGTAAAAGTAACAAGCAGAAAAGCATAAAATAAGAGTTTTATTTCATTATAGATAATTTAGAGGCACTAAATATTATGTAACTGAAAAGCCCGGCTAACTCATAATGCTCATGGGCTGAGAGAAGGACTGATAAGAGAAAAAGTTAAATGTGTCAGAGGTCTGCTCTACAAATATAATGCACACCAGGGTAGGAAGCCATTAGGTCACCTATAACATGTTGGAAAGAGAGGAGCTCCTGGAAAACCTTTTGTAAACATTTTACTGAAAGTAACTCGTAGAAATGATGGTCTGCACTGAAAGGTCAGAGGGTGAAACAGCAGGTAGTAGTCACAGGAAAACTGCAGACAGTCTGTGCTTGGATCACTGCCTGGCAGTACTATATCTGACTTGTAAAACCCAGAGATACAATTATAAGTTAATTACCTATTAAATAAATCCTCAATCTCAGATTACAAGTCAGAATAGCAGGTCTTTCAGCTATAATGAATGATAAGATTACATGCACACATCCTTTTCTCCAGCATTGGTTTAATATTTGAACTACACAATCATGTCACATCTTCCCAAGTGATAAAATATTAGACAATTTGCTTAAAGTTAATGTGAAGGTCAACAATGAGGAGAAGAATAAACACATTTTTGTTGCTAAGTTTTAAAGACGATCACATCGTTTGTAGTAATCAGCCCAACACAATTAATGTCGGTCACCAAGTAACAAATAATGAGCAAATTAACTCTTTAGCTCGGAGGTGATACAGTACCCTAGCTAAGGAAACATGATGTCCAAGATCATCATGGGACTGACACCAGGCCAGCATAAGGCTAACAGGAGCTAACAAGAGGGGAAGTTCACGTTCAACAATTAAAAGGACAAAACAACAAGAAACGCGTGGTCCAGCTACAGCACCTGACAATGTTAGAGCTGTACCCACCCTTACAATTACACAACTGCATTTCACAGGCACAATGTGGCTAACAGGGCTGGGCTAGCTGATATGAACCACTAGCCAGCTATAACGGCGTTAGCTTACAAGCTAGTCGAAAGTTAGCTTCAAGATAACGACGGCAACTCTGACTAAAAAAAACATGGAGTTCGTTTCTAAAGTCTTACCTTTGAATTAAGAAGTTTAGGAGCTAGCCTGCTGACAGTCAAGAAGGACATTGTGTCTGTAATAAAGAGTTATATCTACTTAAACTGTACACCAAAGGAATCCACTGCGAGCGCACCGCGGAGATGTGAAGGTGCCCCTCCAGAAGAGAGAAGGTTGAAGACGGATTGAGGCCTGCAGCCGTCCGCGGTAACGATTGGACGACGGGCCGGGCCGTCGTGATTACGTAGAAGGATTTGATTGGTTGAAGGGAAATAATCGGTATCCTGATTGGACGGGGTCTTCTTGGCTCTGTAACGAGTTTAAAATTGTTTTAACTGCCTTTATAAACCCGCGCCTCTCTTTTAAAACTATGATATTACGCACGTCTATGACCGGAATTTGTGCCCATAATACACGTCCTTTAGTGACCTGTGTCTGGCCCACACCTGGTGCACCTGAAGGACATGGCACCATGTTGCTCATTTACATATTTTAATTCTTTGAACATAAGTCATGATGGTGCGGAGCCCGGTACTAGACTTTGTTGTACGCCATAAAAAAAGTAGTCAAAACCCAGAGAAACTAAATGAGTTTTTACTAAAAAAAAGAGAAAAAAATCAAAAGATGCCTGAAACTAACCTAAAAAAAAAAATTAGCTAAAAGCCATCCATCCATCCATTTTCTTCCGCTTATCCGGGGTCGGGTCGCGGGGGTAGCAGCCTAAGTAGGGAGGCCCAGACTTCCCTCTCCTCAGCCACTTGGGCCAGCTCTTCCGGGGGAATCCCGAGGCGTTCCCAGGCCAGCCGAGAAACATAGTCCCTCCAGCGTGTCCTGGGTCTTCCTCTGGGCCTCCTTCCGGTGGGATGTGTCCGGAACACCTCACCAGGGAGGCGTCCAGAAGGCATCCTAAACAGATGCCCGAGCCACCTTTACTGGTCTCTCGACGTGGAGAAGCAGCGGCTCTACTCTGAGTCCCACCGGGAGTTTTTGCCTCAGCAACCACCCGAGCCGCATGTCGCTTGGACTGCCGGTACCCATCAGCTGCTTCCGGGGTCCCACAAGTCAAAAAGGCCCGATAGGACTCCTTCTTCAGCCTGACCGCATCCCTCACCGACGGTGTCCACCATCGGGATCGAGGGTTGCCGCCGCGACAGGCACCGAAAACCTTGCGGCCACAGCTCTGGTAAGCCGCCTTGACAATAGAGGCACGAAACATGGTCCACTCAGACTCAATGTCCCCCACCTCCCTCGGAACATGTTCAAAGTTCTCCCGGAGGTGGGAGTTGAAACTCCGTCTCACAGGAGACTCTGCCAGACGTTCCCAGCAAACCCTCACAATACATTTGGGTCTGCCAGGTCTGATCGGCATCCTCCCCCACCATCAGAGCCAACTCACCACCAGGTAGTGATCAGTTGACAGCTCCGCCCCTCTCTTAACACGATCGTCCAAGACATGTGGCCGCAGATCAGATGAGACGATGACAAAGTCGATCATCGAACTGCGGCCTAGGGTGTCCTGGTGCCAAGAGCACATATGGACACCCTTATGCTTGAACAAGGTGTTCGTTATTGACAATCCATGACGAGCACAGAAGTCCAACAACAGAACACCACTCTGGTTCAGATCAGGGGGGCCGTTCCTCCCAACCACACCCCTCCAGGTCTCACTGTCATTGCCCACATGAGAATTGAAGTCCCCCAGCAGAACAAGGGAGTCCCCAGAAGGTGCACTTTCCAGTACCCCCTCCAAAGACTCCAGAAAGGGTGGATAATCTGAACTGCCGTTTGGTGCATAAGCACAAATGACAGTCAGAACCCATCCCCCCACACGTAGGCGGAGGGAGGCCACCCTCTCATTCACTGGGGTGAACCCCAATACACAGGCACCAAGTTGGGGGGGCAATAAGTACGCCCACGCCTGCTCGGCGCCTCTTACCAGGGGCAACTCCAGAGTGGAAGTGTCCAGCCCCTCTCAAGGAAACTGGTTCCAGAGCCCGAGCCATGCATAGAGGTGAGTCCGACTATTTCTAGCCGGAACCTCTCAGCCTCACACACCAGCTCAGGCTCCTTCCCCACCAGTGAGGTGACATTCCACGTCCCAATAGCCAGCTTCTGTAGCCGAGGATCAGACTGCCAGGGTCCCCGCCCTTGGCCACCACCCATCCCACATTGCACCCAACCCCTTTGGCCCCTCCCAAAGGTAGTGAGCCCATGGGAATTGGGACCCACGTCTCCTCTTCGGGCTGTGCCCGGCCGAGCTCCATGGGTAAAAGCCCGACCACCAGGTGCTCGCCCGCGTGCCCCACCTCCAGGCCTGGCTCCAGAGTGGGGCCCCGGTGACCCACGTCCGGGCAAGGGAACACTAGGTCTATTTATTTGTGTCATCATCGGGGTCTTTGGGCTGCACTTTGTCTGGTCCCTCACCTAGGACCTGTCTGCCACGGATGACCCTACTAGGGGCGTAAAGCCCCTGACAGCATAGCTCCTAGGATCATTGGGACACTCAAACCCCTCCACCACGGTAAGGTGGCAGCCCAGGGAGGGGGCTAAAAGCCATATGTAGCTAAATGCTAGTTAATATTTCCTGATTCATGCTCATCATGATTCATCCAGGTAGAAAAATCTAAAAAAGTTAAATCTGGTCCTCTGGACATGAAAAAAAAAATATATATATATATATATATATAGAAACGTTTCGTCTCTCATCCGAGAAACTTCCTCAGTCTGAGGTGCTGTATTCAGCTCAGTCTCTTAAATAGCACCTTCTCAGAGTGGATCAACCAGTTTGCTGCTGACAACCAAAACCAGCTGATCACATGCTCAAGAAGGACCATCAGCCTAACAATGGATCATTAGCACACTGATGGCTGTTTACTATTCACAGGGGGTTGAGTGATACTATCAATCACAGCATTGTAAGAGGGGGACAGTTGAACACGGAGGCCTCCTCCTCTGTTTAACGATGGACGATTTCTTTTCACAAAGATGGCCTCCTTCACTCCTCTCTCAAACCATCGTTCCTCTCTGTCAAGGATGTGAACATCTTCATCCCTGAAAGAGTGACCGCTGACCTGGAGATGAGTGTAGACCGCAGAGTCCTGGCCTGATGATGTTGATCTTCTGTGCTGGGCCATCCTTTTGGCCAGTGGCTGTTTTGTTTCCCCGATGTCAGACTGATCACCCTCCTGACACTGAACAGCATACACAACATTACTCTGTTTGTGCCGGGGGACTGGATCTTTGGGATGAACCAATCTTTGCCGTAATGTATTTTGGGGTTTAAAAGCCACTGGGACGTTATGTTTAGAAAATAAACGTCTCAGTTTCTCTGATACTCCCTCAACACACGGAATGACCACTGGTCTGGGTCTGGGTTCCTCCTTTTCACCTGATGGCTGACTGGAGTCCTGTTTGGGTTTCTTCTCTGCTTTCAGGAAGGCCCAGTTAGGATATCCACATTGCTCTAGAGCCTGTCTTGTGTGGGATTTCTCCTTCTGCCTGGCTCCTGAGCTAGTGGGGACGCTGTCTGCTCTGTGGTACAGAGTCCTGATGACTCCTAACTTGTGCTCCAAAGGGTGATGGGAGTCAAACTGCAGATACTGGTCTGTGTGGGTGGGTTTGTGGTACACCTCAGTTTGCAAATGTCCTCTATCAGATACTGAGACCTCACAGTCCAAGAAAGCCAACTTGCCATTTTTTACATTTTCTCGCGTGAACTTGATGTATTTATCCACAGAGTTGATGTGGTCAGTAAAATGTTGGACTTCCTGAGATTTAATTTTAACCCAGGTGTTGTCAACATACCTGAACCAATGACTTGGTGGTGTCCCTGAAAAGGACGTCAAGGCTCTCTTTTCTACCTCCTCCATGTACAGGTTGGTAACAATAGGAGAAACTGGAGACCCCATAGCACACCCATGTTTCTGCCTATAATATTGCTCCCCATATGTGAAGTAGGTTGACTGCAGGCACAGTTTCAAGAGTTGACACAGTTGTTCTGTGGAAAGTGTGGTCCTGCTGCTCAGAGTGGTGTCTGATTTTAATTTTAAACTGACCACCTCTACTGCATCATCAACAGGAATGCACGTAAAGAGTGATGTGACATCAAAAGAGACCATTGTTTCATCAGTCTCCATGATGACATCCCTCACCTTATCCACAAAGTCCATGGTGTTCTGTATGTGGTGTTCTGAGCTGCCAACTAAAGGGATGAGTACAGACGCCAGATATTTGGAAACATTGTAAGTGACAGAGTTAATCATGCTAACAATTGGTCTTAAAGGTACACCTTGTTTGTGGATTTTAGGTAAACCATACAGACTAGGTGTGGCCTCCCCTGGGTACAGTCTGTGGTACAGAATACGGTCCTTGTCCTGCTCCAAAATTTTCAGGCAATCTATCAACTTCTTCTTGTAGCCACTTCCTGGGTCTCTAGCTAGTTAATATTAGCAAAACACTTAAAGCTAAAATAGATAACTTTAGCTGAAAAGTAGCAAAATAGTCACTACACATATTAAAAGACCAGCTAGTGTCAAGGATCTGATGGCAGAGGATCCCACACACAAACTCAGAATGGTTTTAAAATGTTTATTGAATGAATAAACAGCTTCTGATGATTCGGGTCCAGAGCTGGAACTGTGTCTAAAACGATACAGAGGAGAGGTTAGTGTTTTGACAGAATAACAACAGTTATCTGAATACAGACGGTCTGGAAAAACACTAACCTTTCTTGTTGTCGGGGGCTGCTCAGCAGAGACACAGAGCTGAAGGGACCAAGGAGAATCCAGAGGCGTAGTCGAGGACGAGCAGAGTTCATTAACAGGATCCGAAAAGGCGACAGTACCAAAAGGGAGAGGCGAAGGCGAAATCCAAAAACGTGCAAAGGTCATAAACAAGGTCTGAAGGGCTGAGGCACAAAAGGAGCAGGCAAAAAACGTGGTCGAGGAAACAGGCGTGGGTCAAGATACAAAGAGCTGTGAGACTATGGAAACGCTGGATAACTGTGACAAAAGCAAGCAGTTGATCTGGCAAAGAGTGAAGAAAGCAGGAAGTATAAATACACCCAGAAACAGGTGGAGACCATCAGCAGTAATCAGAGAGAGAGAGAGGTGTGACATGCAGCAGGCTGTCAGAAGCAGCAGAGGAAAATACCAGAGGAGCAGAGAAGAATATCAAACAGTGAACAGAGTGATAAATAAAAGGAAAAACAGAGTGTAAACTGGGACAGCTAGAGGCTAAAAATAAATCCATATTAGCTAAAAATAACAAAAGGCTAACTAAAGACCAAATTAAGAATGCGCAATAACAAAAGTTTAACTAAAAGCTAAATGTATCAAAAGGCTGGCTAAAAGTAGCAGAATGACAGCTAAAAACTAAAAGGAAAAAGCAAGTATGCTAGAACAGATTTTAACAAGGACAATCTGAGCACTGATTTCCCAAGTGTTTTGATTTATAATTGGCTAAAAAAAAAGTTTGCAGTAGTTAGACTGCATAAAATGCACAGGGAAAAAACCCCAGTCAGTAATCACAATTACCATAAATACCACTTGCTGAGAAAAAAGTAATAACTATATTATTGATTACTTATATATTATTTAGCACAATAGTATTTTTGTGTACTCGTGCTCCAATTGTTCCCACAATAATAAAGAAATCATTTTCTCGGTGAAATCAAAAATTCTATCTTTTATTTTCAAAGACTGTGGAGAAAAAAGTAGCTGGTTGCTTGAAGTCAGTGTCATTCTCTTCCAACCAGCTGCATGCACGTCTGGTAGTCTGTCTGAAGTGTAACAAGATGCTTGAACAGTTTGTCCAGAGGAAGTATTTAATTCTACAATACACACTAAATGCTTAAAATGACACAGTGTATCAAAACAGAAATATTACTTCCAAATACAGTACACGGGACATCTACAAGTAATTGCAATCAATTTAGAATCGGAGAGTGGTATAAATAGTTTCATTTGCATATTCAATGTTAATTATTATACATTGCGAGCAACCCCGTGGATACAATCCACACAGTGTATTTGGCACATTTAGAACAATCCTTATGTTACATTCAAGTCTTTGGAGCCAGGAACACTTTATGAAAGTATTAAAATAGTTCAATTATTTTATTTATTTATTGACTTCATGCAGGAACGAAGAAGCCACAGTGTGAGGTTAACACCTTGTGCCTTGGAGCTGTCCCAAATATTTAATGTAGTAAATCTGTCCTCAGTCCGAAGGGGCTCGTGTGTAGATTATTTATTTAGAGATCTGTTTGGAGAACCTAAGGCATTATTGCGATCAATAAAAGTGTGGATGAGCTTTTTATTCAGTAGAATCAATATATGTTTTCAAAGTGTGCAAGCAGCGTTCCCCGGCTGTTGGCAGAGTTCGCCCCTTGTTGTAGGCGAAACTCAAACCCTGGAAAAATGCTCAAAATGCAAAGATCATGCAGCCATGACGACATGCATGTTTTCAAATCTTTGTTCGCTGGATCAGCGGCCGTTCAGTCCACATCATCTGAGGTGAATTTTGTAAACAAACTGAGCCTCTGACAGACAACAAAACAGCAGAAATAATTGTGCGTGACACTTTTTACAGCACATCAACTTTTCCAGAAGTTACAGGAAGTGATGTGATGTTTTTTTGGTCCCCACTCTCCTCTGCTCTTTTGTCTGGTAACCTGACCCAAGGTGATGCAGAACATGTCCGCTCCCAGAGTCTTGGCAGGAGAAGTGAAAGGGAGCTCAGTCATCTTCCTCCTCATCATCATCTTCTGGGAGCTCTAGAAGGGTGCTGTGCTTCAGGCAGGTTTGGAGGTAGTTCACCACAGTCCGCTGGAAGTGTTGGATGCTGTGGGGGTCTCTGAGGATGTGGCCTGCGTCGGGGTACAGCTGCAGCGAGTAGTTGGCCTCCGCCTTCACCAGTCGGCTCAGGAGCTCAGCGCTGTGCTGGAAGTGGACCCTGGCTTTGGGTGACACAAACATGAATTTACAAATAAAAGTATTGCGCAAGTTGCCTCTAAAATGACAAATACGCATAAAAACTCACCATCTGCAGTTCCATGTACAATAAGGAAGTTCTCGTCTTTTAATTTATTTACCTCGTCAAGGAGAGAGGAGGTCTGAAAAAAAAAACACTTTGCTTTATAAATCCTTTATTGGCCATGGCTCTGTCAGTTTAAATAAATCTGCAACAAAATCCCAGTTGAAAATATTTTAAAGTTCAGTTGTTGGTTAGAACGAGTAGAAAATGCCATTTAACTTGCTGTTTAGAATAATGTTAGTTCATTAAGTTTTAGCTGCACCAAATATAATATGATCAATCATAACATTTATAATTTGATTTAATTAAAGGGGTTCTGATTAGGCGTGTCACGACCACGGGAGCTCCTTGAGTCATTTGTGAGCAGTTTTCCCTCAGGAACAGAGGGGTCCTCTGCTGACAGGCTGCCATCAGGCTGTGCCTCCTCATTCTGCATTCAGGCCGTTCTAGTGTCACCGTGACACGGATGCAGGCGTGCACATTTTTCCTGAAGATTTTTTGCCAAAATGTTACAACAATAATGTTGCTCCCTTCACCTGAGTGGCTTTAAAAGGAACAGGAAGTAGTTTTGCAAGGATATTTTAGCTTCACCAAAATAAGAGCTTTCTTTATTGTTTAGTTCACTTTTACTTCTATCAATAAAACTGAAAAATATTTAGCATGTCTTTTATACAAAATACAATTCACTCTGCAAGTTGAGGCCTCAAAAAAATCTAACATTGATTCAACATCCCTAAACAATGTAACCTTCATATGAACAAGACGTTATAGCAGCATTAGATCACTTTAGCTGTATCTGATTAGCTTGCAGCTGAGTAAAAATCCACTAATGCCATCACTATGAACAAATATGAGTATTTTAACTGGGAGCTCACTCACAGAATAAGCATGCTCCTCCTTGGCTGGAAGGCCAAGATACCGTTCTGAAAAGGCAGCACCTACAAGAAAAACAGGATAAAAATGTATTTATTTTAATCAAATGCATCTAGGTGAATATTTAGTGGTTTGATTTTAACTCACTATAAAGCTTGAAATCTGTAACCGGGGCCACAGCTGCCGCACACTGAAAGAGCTTATTTGTTGCAGCTAACATTTTGAGAGATAAATAACCTCCAAACGCCTGTCGTGAGAAAGAAAAGAGGTTAAAGGTTTCATTTACTTTTTCATTTCACCTTTTTATAACCAGGCATAAACACTAAGAACAAATTCTTATTCCCAGTGCTGGCCTGGCAAACACCAGCAGGTAGTTGTAGGATCAAGGAAAGTGAAACGATACAAGATGCCACAGCTTTGATAAAACTAGACAGTAGTCTAGTACCTGTAGCTAGCTCTTTGAACACCTCAGTTTGGAGAAACAGTTTAATTCTGATCGGATACATGAGCTAATCTGAGTGAGACCATCGTGAATTACTGTCGACTTAAAACAACTCCAATTAAATAATCTTAAATATTCTTTTTGGAGGTTCGTGTAAATGCTCTTTATAATACTAACATTGTTATCAGTTTCAAATAATATGCTTATTGCAGCAGAAATAAGATTTTCCTGCCTAAAGTGCTCCATCCATCCATCCATCCATCCATCCATCCATCCATCCATCCATC